GTACACCGTCTAAAACTGACTTGGCCGTCGAGTGTAGACCGTTTTTTTTTTTTTTTTTTTTTTTTTTTACTGCAGGGTGGGTCGAAAATTTGCATGCATCTGTATTTTCAGTAAACTTTTGTTTACTGAAGTTTATTTTTACTAAAAACTGTTGTTTGCTGAAGTGTTGTTTACTGTAATTCGTAATGTCTTGAAAGATCAAGTGGTTATCGACCGTCCAAAGTTGAAATGCTTAGATCATGCAGTCAGTCCCGAAAGTTTATAACGGCTGGCTGTGAAATATCAGAAACTGGGGGGAAAAAACATGCTAACAGCTGATGAAAGCTGGTGCGGCGTGCTGTCAGCTGTCAGATGCCGGGGATGGCTGGGTGAAGTTTACCTTGATACATTTACCACAGCCCTCAGCCACAAGAATCTGACACACTGTCCAACCTGTTATACACTGAGTGATTAAGCGCGCGTGAAATTCGACAGGCTGCAGACACACACACTCGCTAATTCCATCGCGAATGTCAACTGCAGCGGTTTTCTTTTTAAAAACGGCCGTCGCGAACTGGCGAGCGCTAAGAGACGAGAGAAAATCGATCGCCAAAAGAACGTCGAAGTAATTCGGGAAGCTGATCGCTAAATTTATTCGCAATGGAACTGCTGGGAGGCGACTCGCTCTCTCTCCCGGCGAGTTACTGCTTTTGTCTTCAGTCCGCAGATTTATTTGTGAGTTTGTTCCTGGACGGTGACCTTTAGCGGTGGGTCAGCGAACTCCTTTCCGCTGCCAGATTAATTCGCGAGTTTTCTCCCAGGATTTGGCACTTAAAGGAGTCACTGCACTTCGCTCACACGGCCGGCCAAGCAAAGGTCACTTGTCGCCCCGGGAGCCTTTATGGTCTGAGGTGATGGGAGAGTGTGTTGGTAGTGACAGGTGTTAGTGATATCAGCCAGGCAACACAACCCCTTCCCCCGTTATACCACCCCAGTAATACCACTCCAGTATATCTACCCGAGTCATACCACTCTAGTGACCTACCTACCTGGGGGTCCTTCTGAGGGTCATCATCCAGTCCTTGACCAGGCCTCCCGGTGGATGAGGGCCTCATCAACCAGGCTGTTAGTGTTGGCTGCACGCAATCCAAAGTACGAACCACAATCCAGCTAATCAGGTGGTACCACTGATGGTGATACACCAAGTGGTGCTTCCAAGTGTTCTCTGGCTTCATTCATCTCGATTCATCAGATGAATCCTCTTCACTGCCTGCAGCATCCTCTTGTATCGTTATTGCATCCTTCTCGTATCTTCCTCTACATCCCTTTATCATACTGGAGGATGCTGAGGGTGTCTGAGATTCCCGGAAACAAGGCATGATAATCCAGATGAAGGCCTTATAAACAAAAGCCATACGATGGGTAGCGAACTGGCTGTATGCTGGAGGTGGTGAGACGAATCTTGAAGAGAATCGTGTGGGAACACTGATGCTGCAAGCTATTCTCTCACACCGCTGATACTCGTACAGATTCGAACGTTTCCTGAGGCTGAGGCAGCTACCGCGTTGCCAGATATAACGAGGCTATTGTCTAACGTCATTAAATATACTTTTTAATATAGGTTTATGTAACCTAACTTGAAATAAAGAAAACAGTATTTAAAAGTTTTACAAAGAGTATTCAGAAACAGATGCTGGTAATCGCGTAAGAAAATTAAAATATTGAAATAAGGATAGATTGGATGCTGAGAATGATAGGCTGGGATGATACAGTAGGCTGGGATGATACAGTAGGCTGGGATGATACAGTAGGCTGGGATGTTACAGTAGGCTGGGATGTTACAGTAGGTTGGGATGTTACAGTAGGCTGGGATGATACAGTAGGCTGGGATGATACAGTAGGCTGGGATGTTACAGTAGGCTGTATTTACAGTAGGTTGGGATGTTACAGTAGGTTGGGATGTTACAGTAGGCTGGGATGTTACAGTAGGCTGGGATGTTACAGTAGGCTGGGATGTTACAGTAGGTTGGGATGTTACAGTAGGCTGGGATGATACAGTAGGCTGGGATGTTACAGTAGGCTGGGATGTTACAGTAGGTTGGGATGTTACAGTAGGCTGGGATGATACAGTAGGCTGGGATGATACAGTAGGCGGGGATGTTACAGTAGGCTGGGATGTTACAGTAGGTTGGATGTTACAGTAGGCTGGGATGTTACAGTAGCTGGATGTTACAGTAGGTTGGGTTTGTTACAGTAGGTTGGGATGTTACAGTAGGCGGGGAGATACAGTAGGCTGGATGTTACAGTAGCTGGGATTTACAGTGGGTTGGGATGTTACAGTAGGCTGGGATGATACAGTGGGGCTGGGATGATACAGTAGGCTGGGATTTTACAGTGGGTTGGGTGATACAGTAGGCTGGGATGATACAGTAGGCTGGGATGATACAGTAGGCTGGATGTTACAGTAGGTTGGGTTTGTTACAGTAGGCTGGGATGTTACAGTGGGCTGGATGTTACAGTAGGCTGGGATGTTACAGTAGGCTGGGATGTTACAGTAGGCTAGGATGTTACAGTAGGCTGGGATGTTACAGTAGGCTGGGATGATACAGTAGGCTGGGATGTTACAGTAGGCTGGGATGTTACAGTAGGCTGGGATGATACAATAGGTTGGGATGATACAAAAGGCTGGGATGATACAATGGGCTGGGATACAATAGGGTGAGACGATACAATAGGCTAGTATGATACAATAGGCTGGGATGATATAATAGAACTGCAGCACTATGGTCAGGACAGCATTCAGAAAGCTGCCTCTGTAGACCTTGCGACATGGGCACTGCTAATCAGAAACCAGTGTAGTTTCCATGAGATGAGAGGGATACACAGAGGAGAGTGACATTACTACCAAGTAATCACAGTCGATATTGAGAGACCCAAGTTAGTAGTAGAAGTAATCTGTAGCCCATAACAAAATAGCAGGAGACTAAGACAGGTATATGAAGACAAGAACAAAGCCATTGTTGATCCGAGCAAGTGATCAGAAACAAGAAGGATTAAGATGGAGATGGTGATGAAAAATTTGTCGGCATGTCAGGGACACAACGAGAGAGAGAGAGAGAGAGAGAGAGAGAGATAGGAGAGAGAGAGAGAGAAGAGAGAGAGAGAGAGAGAGAGAGAGAGAGAGAGAGAGAGAGGGGTTCACGACTCTGGTAAACACTTGTAGATGAACCAGCAAGACTTTTGGACTTGGTATTACATCTTGTGGAAGTAAACATCGAGGAAAGGACAAGCAGGGAAAGGGAGAAACCATATTTTAGAACAGGAACCTATGCAGCAATGAGAGATTTCTTCGGTATAGCACAATGGAAAAGAGAACCGGAAGTAAGATCAACAAATGAGATGCAGTGCCTTGCCGGAGAGTGCCGGGAGGCAGAAGAGAAACTCACACTCAGAAGAAGAAAAAGAAGAGACAATGGCAAGAACAAAGAACCAGTGATTTAAACAAAGTTGCAGATAAAAATGTAGAAGTGCTAAAGAATGGAGAACTATAGCAAACGAAGAACAGCAGAAAAATAAGAGAAGTTGGCAGAGGAGCCAGGAACGAATACAAGCTGAGCAGTAATGTGAGAATGGCAGAGCAATGAAAACCAAATTTTGATCGGAACTGCTCCATAGCCATAACAGGAGAAATATGGCAATAAAGCACTAGGAAGGAAGATAGGAAGGAAGGACAAGAACACACAAGGAACATAAACGTCAGTGAGACCCAAACAAACAATTTAGATCAAAAGGAAAGGGAACATCAATGAATACTGGACATAACACACAGAAGAGATGAAGACATTTACGAGGTTGATACCACAAAGGCAGTGGGATCTGACATGTGTCGCCATGGATTCTGCAACAGGATGCAGAACCACTCTCCAAACTGTTACTTTAGTTCTTCAAGACCATTGGCCGAGATCTATTAAATAGCAAATAAAATCTCAGCATTTAAAAAGCCAGACAGGAAGCACCAAACTTCAAGCTAGTATCACTGAAATGCATATTGTATGCATACTGTATGCATACTATGTATACTATAATCAGAAGAAGAATGGCGGACCATTTGGAGAGAGCTGCTTCCACCAACAATAATCAGCATAGGTTTAGAGACGGTAAATCCTCTCCCACAAACATATTGGAGTTCGATGACAGAGTAACAGAACCGAGGCCGGAGACAGAGGTATGGGTGTACTGCATAATCTTGGAGTGAAAGAAAGTATTTGACACTACCACACAAGACACTGGAACAAATACAGGTGGGAAATAGGTACTCAAGGGCACAGATGGAAGTTAAAGATACACTTGAGTCGCAGGGATGTAAGGAAGCAGTTCTTCAGCCTGTGAGTGGTTAGCAAATGGAATGACCTCGACGAGACAGTAATGGAGGCAGGCTCCATAAATAATTTTAAGAACGGGTACGACAGTGCCTACGAGGCTCTGTTGAGACTTGGGGCCAGGAGCTAAGACTTAACCCATAAAACTACATAAGTATCTATCTGGAGGTCGTTCTTAGGGTCATCGTCCCCGCGGCCCAGTCCTTGACCACGCCTCCGGTGGATCAGAGATTGATCAACCAGGCTGGTACTGCTGGCCGCACGCAGTAGGTATGTTATAAGAATGACAGGACCCACGAGGAGGCTAAGAGAGTACACCTAGCAAGTTTAAGAGGTATGTTCAGGAGCTGAGACTCGACCCATGCAACCACAAGTAAGTTTATACAAATAGGTTAGTACACACTGGTGCTTAGTAGCGATTAGAGAAGAGGCGGGGCCAGGAGCTAAGACTCGACTCCTGCAACCACAAATACGTTAGTCCACTAACTAAACTCCGCTCCTTCGGTGCCCGGCACTCCCCTACCTGCTCCCATTTGCCTTCCCTTCCCACCCGTTCCCTCTCCCTTCCCCTTCCCCCTCACCACCACAACTCCCTCGCCCACTTCCCCTTCCCCCCAGTCCACCACAACACCCTCGCCCACACCTCTCAGTCTACCTCCAGCCACCGTGACGAGAGGACATGCATCCCACTTCCCTGTGGCGTTCATGTCTGAAGGATTCATTTTAAAACTGTGATTCTGGTGTTTACTTGAATAAAAAACCCAAGACCGCCGGCGTACTACTGTGTGTGTGAAGCGTTCCCGTGTTGACACTTGCTCCTTCGCCAGATCCAAGCAATTACAAACATATAAATTCGTTCACGTGTGGGACGAGGATGACAAAAAAGTTTTGAAATCCAGTTTTCTAGTGGGTGTTGTGGAAGGTCCTCCAGCCTGCTTCCTGAGGTCGAGTGGCCCTCCAGCCTGCTTCCTGAGGTCGAGTGGCCCTCCAGCCTGCTTTCTGAGGTCGAGTGCCCTCCTGCCTGTTTTTTAAGGTCGAGTGGCCCTCCAGCCTGTTTTTTGAGGTCCAGTGGCCCTCCAGCCTGTTTTTTGAGATCGAGTGGTACACTAGCCTTCTTCCTGAGGTTGAGTGGCCCTCCAGCCCGCTTCCCGAGACCGAATTCCACTCCAACTAGTTTACTGAGGATTCCTGACACCAAAAACAGAGTACCAAATGTTGATGAAAACATCAACATAGGACACGAGGGACACAATTGCTCAAAACTTTACTGAGTGCCTGAGGAAGTGATTGCCAGAGGAACAGTGCCACTTTCTGCTCAACTCCCTACTGAGTGCCAGTAGCGGCTCATGTCCTTGTCAGATAAGCAGTAAGACAAGCAGTGCCATCAGAAGATGCAGTCAGCACTGATGTACTGAGTGTGAGAGGCAGTCGTGACCATCAAGCGTGTGTGTGTGTGTGTGTGCGCGCGCGCAAGTGTGTGTTTGTGTTTGTGTTGTGTCAGAGGTCAGGAGGCCACAAGCAGCACACGGGCCAGCTGTGTGTTGAGGTCAGCCGGTGGCTGCTGTCTTGGGCTGCTACTGCATCAGGCCTTACAACTGGTCCTGACTTCTGGCGTCAGACCTTACAACCGGTCTTGACTTCTGGCGTCAGACCTTACAACCGGTCCTGACATATGGTGTCAGACCATACAACCGGTCCTGACTTATGTTGTCAGACCGTACAACCGGTCCTGACTTCTGGTGTCACACCTTACAGCCAGTCCTGACTTCCGGTGTCACACCTTACAACCGGTCCTGACTTCTGGTGTCAGATCATGTTGACGAAGAGTTCGAGGTGAGGGTTATCATTCCTTTCGCCAAGAAGTGACTGGCTGAAGAGGCAAGCAAGGGATTCACAGCTCAATCTGAACTATAAAACTTGTCTTCAGCCATGGGTGACGCTGGCCAAAACACGGCATCGGCCCCCACAACTACGGACCTTCACGCCACAGACATTACGGAGAGGAACAGTGAGCTGCCCAAGAGCTCCAACGAAGCCGTAAACACGAAAGCAGAGCAGAATGAAGCGGTGGGAAGAACTGGAGATCACGATGATGCCCAGAGCACTTGCTCAAGCACCTCCTCCACACCATCTTCCACGTCCTCGGAGGCAACTAGCTCCTCTTCGTCAGAGGGCGGCGCCCAGAGGGCCATCCACATCGAAGATTCGGACAAGAAGTACATCGTAGTGGAGCCCACTAAACCCAAGACTTGGCTGGCCGCTTACAAGTTAGTCTCACATTCTTCTTTTAGTTAGTAAGGATTAAGATTATCGACAGCACGTGGGTCATTAAGGAGGCAACTCACCTGTAAACTAATATCAAGAATAATTCCTCAAGCAGAGATTAAGCTCTCACTATATATGTGCTGACAACACACACACACACACACACACACACACACACACACACACACACACAACACACACACACACACACACACACACACACGTCAAGAACTTGGCGTATATAGATACTCGTACATAATTATCAGTGTACAAACACTGACATGCCACTCTGTGTATGTACACTGACAAGTACACGCTCTTCGATGCATGCACGCACCTTGAGATCTTTTTTAGTATTGGAGAAAAAACTAAGTTTATAAAGAGATACCTGCTAGTTAAGGGGCCATATCAACACAGTTCACTAGCATCTTAGACGAGATCTAATGTTCTAAGACATACAGTCCTCGTCACGGCATTATGCCGGATGAGCGCCCCGGTATAATGCCGTGACGAACACTGTACAGTGCCTAAGATACTTGCTAGCTCCAAATCCTAAGGAATGGAGAAGACGCTAGTTGAGGACAGAAGAAAGAAATTCTAGCTCAAGATATACGTCTAGGGAAGAATATACAACCTGAGGATTCTCATCTAGAAGAGGTAAAAACGATCACCAGTAGAAAGAGGCGAGCTCAAAACTGTCATCTAAGGAGAGAGACGTTAAACTAGAACAAGAACCTAATAAGTTTATTTAGGCACAGGTACAAATAAGTACAATTAGCAAATATATTGTAAATTACCGAGGATAACCCAAGAAAAAACTCGGACTGACTTTTCCAAACTAAATCTTCTAGCCAAAGGCAATCGTAATGATTGGCGGTAATTATATATTATATATATATATATATATAATATATATATATATATTATTTATATATATATATATATCCCAGGTAGTTTGGTTGGTAAACAGCAACCGCCCGGGAAGGTACTACCCTCCTGCCAAGTGAGTGTACAACGAAAAGCTGTAATTGTTTTACATGATGGTAGGATTGCTGGTGTCTTTTGTCTGTCTCATAAACATGCAAGATTTCAGGTATATCTTGCTGCTTCTACTTGCACTTAGGTCACACTACACATACATGTACAAGCATATATATACACACCCCTCTGGGTATTCTATATTCTTTCTAGTTCTTGTTCTTGTTTATTTCCTCTTATCTCCATGGGGCAGTGGAACAGAATTCTTCCTCCGTAAGCCATGCGTGTTGTAAGAGGCGACTAAAATGCCGGGAGCAAGGGGCTAGTAACCCATTCTCCCGTATAAATTACTAAATTTAAGAGAAACTTTCGTTTTTCTTTTTGGGCCACCCTGCCTTTGTGGGATACGGCCGGTGTGTTGAAATATATATATTATTATATAATATATTATATATATAATATTATAATATATATATATTATATATATATATATATATATATATTTATTATTATGTACGTATTATATATATATATATATATATATATATATATATATATAATATATATATAATATATATATAATATAATATATATTTTAGTATCAGGGGTTTAAGATGGCCTACTAATTGAAGCACAAGTGTATCAATAAGAGGTCAAAGGGCCTCATCAAGGCTCGCCGGCGGATTTTAATCGCCCACAAATAACACCAATCTGCTGCCTTCTTGCAGTGTCAAATTATCCTCTGGCAAACGTTAGGAAAATCAATTTCAATTTTGTATTGATCTTCCAAGTAAGTTTATATGAAAAAAAAATGTGTAGCAAACAAGATGCATCCTCACGATATTGTGTAAATAACACACACACACACACACCACACACACACACACACACACACACCACACACACACACACACACACACACACACACACAACACAACACACACATATTTTATATTTTAAAATATAAATATATATATATGTGTGTGTGTGTGTGTGTGTGTGTGTGCCCGTGTGAATAGGTAAAATTTTCGATTTTGGCTTAAATAGCAACGCTCTTCTTCCCGAATATGGCAAGCGAAAATTTGTGTATGCAATAATTTCTCATAAATCATTCTGAACTTAACGAAAACAAATATATTTCATTGTGTTTGTTTATTATTAAATTACTGTAAACTTATCTAAAATATATTTATTTGGATTAGGCTAAATTAAATTGCGCTTGCTATAATAAGGTTAGGTAAATTTCCTAAAGTCCTTTTGGTACAAAATTATTAATTAACATTAATGAAAAAAAAAATATGTCTTTAAACGTATAAGAGAAAATTTTAGAAAGGACTTGTAAATTGATCAGTTTTACCTATTCGGCACGACATATGTTATATTTACACGTTAAACATAGTAACAAAGACACATGTAATGATACATCGTATATAAGACATTCAAGAAGATATTACGCAACGATACACACGTAACAACAGCATTTAAACCACCACATAACATGTGTAATATTCACATATCGTTATATATATGGAATGATGTCATGCATATAGACATACGTAACATCGGCATGTTAATAAAACACATATGTATCATGAGGCCATTGCATTATGGTACGTTTCGCGCACTGGAAGCCTCATAAATCCAATTGATGATCCCCATGAGCGAGTGGGTAACCACATACTAGGTTCCTGTAACCACATACCTGGTTCCTGTAACCACATACCTGGTTCCTGTAACCACATACCTGGTTCCTGTAACCACATACCTGGTTCCTGTAACCACATACCTGGTTCCTGTAACCACAAAACCTGGTTCCTGTAACCACATACCAGGTTCCTGTAACCACATACCTGGTTCCTGTAACCACATACCTGGTTCCTGTAACCACATACCTGGTTCCTGTAACCACATACCTGGTTCCTGTAACCACATACTGGTTCCGTAACCCACATACCTGGTTCTGTAACCACATACCAGGTTCCTGTAACCACATACCAGGTTCCTGTAACCACATACCAGGTTCCTGTAACCACATACCAGGTTCCTGTAACCACATACCAGGTTCCTGTAACCACATACCTGGTTCCAGTAACCACATACCAGGTTCCTGTAACCTCATACCAGGTTCCTGTAACCACATACCAGGTTCCTGTAACCAAATACACAGTTCCTGTAACGACAGCCTCGCATTCGGGTTCAGATTATTCAATTATTTTGAATTCTAGTTAAATCACGCTCCATATCATGAATAATAATAATAATAATAATAATAATAATAATAATAATAATAATAATAATATCATCAACAACAAAAGTAAAACAAAAAAAAAAATATTAATTAATCTCAGCTGTATGATTCTTGTAGGTTTAGCGCTTCTTTTTTATTATAATATTTAATTGATCTGAAGTGAGTTAATGTACTTGCTGAGTACATTGTGTGAGTTACTGTACCTGGTGAGTACGTTGTATGAGTTACTGTACCTGGTGAGTACATTGTGTGAGTTACTGTACCTGGTGAGTACATTGTGTGAGTTACTGTACCTGGTGAGTACATTGTGTGAGTTACTGTACCTGGTGAGTACGTTGTGTGAGTTACTGTACCTGGTGAGTACGTTGTGTAAGTTACTGTACCTGGTGAGTACATTGTGTGAGTTACTGTACCTGGTGAGTACATTGTGTGAGTTACTGTACCTGGTGAGTACATTGTGTGGGTTACTGTACCTGGTGAGTACATTGTGTGAGTTACTGTACCTGGTGAGTACATTGTGTAAGTTACTGTACCTGTGAGTACATTGTGTGTAGTTACGTACCTGGTGAGTACATTGTGTAAGTTACTGTACCTGGTGAGTACATTGTGTGAGTTACTGTACCTGGTGAGTACATTGTGTGAGTTACTGTACCTGGTGAGTACATTGTTGGCGTCACTGCACCTGGTTAGTACACTGTGTGAGTTACTGTACCTGGTGAGTACATTGTGTGAGTTACTGTACCTGGTGAGTACATTGTGTGAGTTACTGTACCTGATGAGTACATTGTGTGAGTTACTGTACCTGGTGAGTACATTGTGTGGGTTACAGTACCTGGTGAGTACATTGTGTGGGTTACTGTACTTGGTGAGTACATTGTGTGAGTTACTGTACCTGGTGAGTACATTGTGTAAAGTTACTGTCCCTGGTGAGTACATTGTGGGGAGTTACTGTACCTGGTGAGTACATTGTGTGAGTTACTGTACCTGGTGAGTACATTGTGTAAGTTACTGTACCTGGTGAGTACATTGTGTGAGTTACTGTACCTGGTGAGTACATTGTGTGAGTTACTGTACCTGGTGAGTACATTGTGTGAGTTACTGTACCTGGTGAGTACATTGTGTAAGTTACTGTACCTGGTGAGTACATTGTGTGATTTAAACTGTCCCTGGTGAGTACATTGTGTAAGTTACTGTACCTGGTGAGTACATTGTGTGAGTTACTGTACCTGGTGAGTACATTGTGAAAGTTACTGTACCTGGTGAGTACATTGTGTGAGTTACTGTACCTGGTGAGTACATTGTGTAAGTTACTGTCCCCTGGTGAATACATTGTGTGAGTTACTGTACCTTAAAGTACATTGTGTAAGTTACTGTACCTGGTGATACATTGTGTGAGTTACTGTACCTGGTGAGTACATTGTGTAAGTTACTGTACCTGGTGAGTACATTGTGTGAGTTACTGTACCTGGTGAGTACATTGTTGGCGTCACTGCACCTGGTTAGTACACTGTGTGAGTTACTGTACCTGGTGAGTACATTGTGTGAGTTACTGTAACAGGTGAGTACATTGTTAGGGCCACTGTAACTGGTGAGTACATTGTGTAAGTTACTGTACCTGGTGAGTACATTGAGTGAGTTACTGTACCTGGTGAGTACATTGTGTGATTTACTGTACCTGGTGAGTACATTGTGTGAGTTACGGCAATTGGTGAGTACATTCAGTGGGTTACTGTACCTGGTGAGTACATTGTATGGGTTACTGTACTTGGTGAGTAC